TGGTGACTTTAGGATGGAGTCTCTGAGTGGACATCCTTTCTGTTGATGTTGAAGTTATTTCTTTCTGTTTGTTAGTTTTACTTCTAACAGTCAGGCCCCTCTGCTGCAGGACTGCTGGAGGTCCACTCCAGATGCTGCTTGTCTGGAAATCACTCGTGGAGGCTGCAGAACAACAAGGATTGCTGCCTATTCCTTCCTCTGGTAGCTTGGTCCCAGAAGGGTACCTGCCAGTTGTCAGCCAGAGCTCTCTTGTATGAGGTGTCTCTTAGGATATATGGGAGTCAGGAGGTCACTTGAGGAGGCAGTCTGTCCCTTATTAGAGCTCAAGTGCCATACTGGGATCTCCATTGCTCCCTTCAGAGCTTCTGGGCAGGGATATTTAAGTCTACTGAAGTGGAACTCACAACTGCCCCTTTTCCCAGCTGTTCTGTCTTGCGAAGGTGGGGATTTATTTATAAGTCCCTGACAGGCTGCTGCCTTTCTTTCAGAGATGCCCTGTCCAGCGAGGAGGGAGTCTAGTCACAGTCTGCATGCAGAGGAATTGCTAAGCTGCCAAGGGCTCTGATAGGTTGCTGTGTAAACTTCCTTGTGATTTTGTTTACACAGGCAAGGTTAGAACTGCCTCAATAATGGTGGATGCCTCTTCCCACACTGAGCTCAACTATCCCAGGTCGAGCTCAAACTGCTGTGCTGGCTGTGAAAACCTCATGCCAGTGGGTCTCAGTTTGCTGGTCTTTGTGGGGGTGGGACCCACCAAGCCAGATCACTTGGCTCCCTGCCTTCAGTCTCCTCTTTTTCAGGTGAAAAGGGTGGTTCTGTCTTGCAGATGCTCCAGTTGTCTACTAAAACAGCCCCCCAGTTTTGTGCTGGAAACCCATGGCACTGGCTCAAATGGCCACACACTTTCGTGCTAGAAACCCACAGCACTGGTGTTGTTGCCACCAGCAGGAACCTCCTGGTCTGTGTGCTGTAAAGATTATGGGAAAAGCACAGTATCTGAGCTGGAGTGCCAGAATGTCTGGAAAAGTCCCCAATGGCCTCCCTTGGATAGGAGGGGGAGTTCTCTGTTCCCTTGCACTTCCTGGGTGAGGCAACACCCCACCCTACCTCAGTTTGCCCTCCTTGGGCTACACCCACTCTCCAACCAGTCCCATTGAGATGAACCTGGTACCACAGTTGGAAATGCAGAGATAACTTTCCTTATGCATCATTTTCAGTGGGAACTGTGCTCCGAACTGTTCCTATTCGGCCATCTTGGTAGAAGTCAGGTTTTGCATTTAAATGTTTAATCCATCTTCAGTTGATTTGTGTACATGCTGAAAGAAAAGGATTCAGTTTCAATCTTCTGCATGTAACTGGCCAGTTATCCAGCACTATTTATTAAACAGTCTTTTCCTCATTTCTTGTTTTGTCAACTTTGTCAAAGATTACTTGGTTCCATCAATCTATGTGTCTTTTTTTTAAACCAGTACCATATTGTTTTGGTTCCTGTAGCTTTGTAGTATAATTTAAAGTCAGGTAATGTGATGCCTCTTATTCTTTTTAACTAGGATTACTTTGACTATTTGGCCTCTTTTTTGCTTTCATATGAATTTTACAATTGTTTTTTCTAAGTCTGTGAAAAATTACATTGATAATTTGATAAGTATTATATTGAATATGTAGATTATTTGGGGCAGTGTGGTCATCTTAACAATATTGATTCTTCTAATTTATAAGCATGGAATATTTTTCCATTTGCATTATCTGTCATTTCTTTCATCAGTGTTTTATAGTTCTACTTATAAAGCTATTTCACCTCCTTTATTAAATGTATTCCTAGGTTTTTGTGTGTACATGTGGCTATAATAGGCTGTTTTAACCTGATAGCAATTTAACTTTCTTGCATAAAAAATCTCCACACTTTTACTCCACATTCACCCCCACACACAGATTCTAAATTTTCAATGTCACACTTATATCTTTTTATGTTGCATATTTCTTAACAAATTATTGTACCAGTATTATTTTTAATAACTGTATCTTTAAAACTTCATTCTAAATCAAAAGTGATTTACATATTACCATGAAAATATTAGACTACTCCAAATTTGACTATGTACTTACTTTTACCAGTGAATTTTATACTTTCATATGTTTTTATGTTACTAATTAGTCCAGTTTGCTTTCAGCTAAAGAACTCCCTTTAGCAGCTCTTGCAAGATAAGTCTATTGGTGAGGAATGGTTAATTTTAATTTAACCAAGTACAAAAAGTTCATTGGTAGAGTTTCAGATTTCATATTTCCACTAACCTTTAAGAAACTATCATTTGAGTTTTAGTGTATAGTTAAACAGAAATGTTCACAATTATGTAAAAAGTTTATTAAAATATTCCTCCTTTTCCTCACTATTTATCTGTGTGAGGCCAGGTTTTATTCATTGACTTCAACCAAAACAGCACATTGTAATAGATTTAATTCAGAAGTAGTTATAAAAATACAGCCATCTTCAAGTCAGACATTAAAGAGATTTGTGAAAATGTAAAACAGTGTCACTTTTCTCACTCTAATTTTTGTTGTTTGGAAAATCACAATAATTTTTATAAAATTGTATTATTTATTTTAACATAAAATCAATTCATTATTTTTGTTTTTAAAAATAGGATGTAAAATTTATTTATTTCAATTTCTAATACAGTAAATAGTGATAGGTATAACCCAACTAAACCAAAATCTTAGGATTCTCTAATTTTTAAGAGTGTAAAATAGTCCTAAAACAAAATAGTGAAACAACCTAGAAAAAACAAAGATATAAATCCAAATGTTAACATTCATCGATTCAGTTACCATCATTTCATCTCTAAAAGCACATGGCATATAGTTAATCTCACTGAGGCACCACTTTGAAACTCCCACCCTGCGCCAGGTACTTGTGAGCATGTAACTTTGTTAACCATTCAGAGCTGTACCCCAACATGTCTTTGTTGCCCTTTTCATGGCACCTCTGCTAAATCTCATTAGGTACTCCAAAGAAGTCGGTGAACTTTTTCTTTATACCTTTATTCATGATATTTATAAGTTTGGTAATTTGCAAAGGTCTCGGACAAAGACCAGGGACTTATCTGTAATAATTAATTTATCTCTTGAAGAAACAAATCATATAATTGGTTATGGAGCACAGGCATCATAAGCAGAAAAAAGGTTTCTAAGTAAAGGGGGAAAACCTGGTGTGTAGTGCTCATATCAGGAATTCATGTTACCATTTGGCAATATGAACTTTTAGCAATGTGCCTTTCTTGTGTGTGTGTGTGTTTGTTTGTTGAGGCAGGGTCTTGCTCTGTCCCCAGACTGGAGTGCAATGACCCAATCTCAGCTTACTACAACCTCCACCTCCAGAGTTCAAGAGATTATATGCCTAGGACTCCTGAGTAGCTGGGATTACAGGAGCACACCACCACACCCAGCTAATACAGCTAATTTTTGTATTTTTAGGTAGAGATGGGGTTTTACAATGTTGGCCAGGCTGGTCTCAAACTCCTGACCTTAATTGATCCACCAACCTCGGCCTCCCAAAGTTCGGGGATAACAGGTGTTAGCCACTGTGCCTAGTCGCTCTTTTTATTACATACATTTTGCATGACCATGTAGTTGTTTACAACTATTTATCTAGTAAACCAATAACTTACAGTTTTTTTAAAAAGACAATGGGTAGCATGGAATTATTCATGATATCTGTGCCATACCTTGAGCACCCACTGGATACTGGATATTGTGCTGGGCTTTGAAGATGAAAAATAATGAGTTCTCTTGGAAAATTTACAGTGTAACATAGAAAGCTTTGGGTAACTAAATTTGCACAGTGAAATATAATTAATAATGGAAGAAGTATATTATTTGACAGAGTACAGTGGGGAAAAGTACCAGCATAGACTTAGAATATCAGCTTTGACTTGGAGGAAAATACTAGTTGAGTCTACTTTTTTTTTTTTTTTTTGAGACGTAGTTTCGCTCTTGTTACCCAGGCTGGAGTGCAATGGCAAGATCTCGGCTCACCACAACCTCCACCTCCTGGGTTCAGGCAATTCTCCTGCCTCAGCCTCCTGAGTAGCTGGGATTACAGGCACGCACCACCATGCCCAGCTAATTTTTTGTATTTTTAGTAGAGACGGGGTTTCACCATGTTGAGCAGGATGGTCTTGATCTCTTGACCTCGTGATCCACCCACCTCGGCCTCCCAAAGTGCTGGGATTACAGGTGTGAGTCTACTTCTTTGATAGCAATATGTATTAAAAGTCTAACAGTCTCACTGTACCCTTCCCTGAGAAGGTAAAGGAATATCCTGACTTTAAGGGTTGTGAGACCTAGCTGTTTCTTAGCAAAGGACTCCAGTGACTTTTCTTTGCAGGTTTTAAATAGCAAACTATTTTGTGGTAGCTTTAAGCCTTCCAGAACAAGCAGATTAGGTATGTAGTTGCTTTTAATAAAACTATTTGAAAGTTCGCTAAAGGCAATTATGATTTTTCTAGGGCCTTTTCCAATTCTGTGATTATATGAATGACCACCCAGAATTTCCATTGAATGCTGATATACAACTTGCTATGGCTACAATTTATTTTGGTGTGGAAACATGTTTGTTTTTCCTGTTCTTATGTCTCCCTTCATACAAAAGTGTAATATCCCAGATATTTATCTGTAGTCTTCTTTATAGTTCTATCATTCAGAATAATTCTAATATGCTTTAATCTTATTAAATATCTAGAAGACTAATGCACAGTTATAGCTGCATTTCTTTAAGCAAGTCTATCATATCTTTGGGTTTATACCAAATTAAATTTGTGAACTATTATCCATTTTTTAAAATAATTATTTACATAATTATTTGCCTCAATCTTTCTTTAAATAGCAAACACTCACAATGCATTTTAAAATATTACCTACTTTATAAAAACCCATTCTGTAGTGTTTATTGCATTGAGCTGTTGACTCTTTAGCCAATATGCCTTTATATTTTGTCTTGAAAGATGGACCCTATCTTGTCAACATCAGTTCCACTGTACTCATTGAGAGTGGATAAGGAATATGAAGTACGTGTGAGATCCAAACAACGAAAATCTGAAAATTATGGAGAGTTCAGCGAGGTGCTGTATGTAAAACTTCCTCAGATGAGCCAATTTACATGTGAAGAAGGTAAAAGAAATAAAAGACTAAAATAACAACTAACCTGGCTTTTGTCAATATAGCACTTGATTCATCCCTGCACTGGTAGTGTGTTGTTTAAAATCAAAATATATTGGCATCAGGTATCAGGGTTGAGAGACCTTGAGCTCACTATCTGTAACAAATGTTGTTCATTGCAAAAGCAGAAGGAAGATTTAGTTTCCAAATTTTTCATTCAGGAAAAATCCTGGGACAGATGGAAGTTCAGAGACAGGAATATGGTGGCAATCTCTGGATGGTAGAATTCAGATGATTCTTTTCTTTATATATTTTTATATTTCCAGAATTTTTTATAGTAAGTTTGTTTTGAATTTACAATCAGGAAAAAGCTGTTCTAATGGTTAGGGAAGAAACCGTGTATCTACATGGATAAATAGATATGTGGCGTCTAAGAGGAAACCTAATATTGAGTCAGCATAGGTAGTCAACAGCAGGTGCATACAGTTTTAGAAAGCGGAGTCTGGATTTTACCTAGAGGAATGCCTAACAAGTAGTGTGCTAGTGATACTCAAAGGAGACATGGAACATCTGAAAACCCTGTGTAGGAGAACAATAACATTGATTAATTTTTTTAAAATGGGACCTATGAATTTAGAATAAAAGGGTTAAAACTTTTAGATACAGAAATAAATAAAACTGATTAATAATGAGCAGAAAGTATAGAGTATTATCACTCTCAAATGGGAATTGGTTCTCTTCCATCTGCATTGAAAACAGAAAGATTACAGGGCTATATGTTTGTTAACCAAACAACCACAAGCTACATAGAAAATAAATTTATATTTCTGCATTTACTGTACAGGTAGAATCTCACGATACTAAATAGCACTAGGATGAAAATTTCTATAGCACCATTTTCTCTAAACTCTAGTTAAATAACTTCTTGTTTCCAAGCTATTTAATTTAATGCAATTCTGGTCTTAAAAGTACAATTGCTATACACTCTTACGCTTAGTGTAGTGGCATTTAATTCACTTAACATATGTTTTTTAAACTAGATTTTCCTTCTGTTATTAACAAAAAAATAAGCTCTAACTTTATGTTATTTTCATGCATATGTCACTGATAGAAAATTATAGATACTACAAGACCAAAAAAAATGGTATTTTCTCCTCCACCAATTCTTTAAAATGCTTATAATATCTCCCTAGGAGATTGGAATAACTTATTAAATGAGAAAAGATAATTTCAGCATAAAGTCCTGCTTTTTAAAAGGCAATATTAAAGTAAATTCCATCTCTAATTTTGTTTTGTTTTGTGTGTGTGTGTGTGTGTGTGTGTGTGTGGTTTTGTTTCGTTTTGTTTTGTTTTTGAGACGGAGTTTTCACTTTTGTTACCCAGGCTGGAGTGCAATGGCGAGATCTCGGCTCACCACAACCTCTGCCTCCTGGGTTCAGGCAATTCTCCTGCCTCAGCCTCCTGAGTAGCTGGAATTTCAGGCACGCGCCACCATGCCCAGCTAATTTTTTGTATTTTTAGTAGAGACGGGGTTTCACCATGTTGACCAGGATGGTCTCGATCTCTTGACCTCGTGATCCACCCGCCTCGGCCTCCCAAAGTGCTGGGATTACAGACTTGAGCCACCGCGCCCGCGCATCTCTAATTTTTATGAAAAAGTAGTTAACCTCTGTCTCCGTGGTAAGAATACTGGGAACCAACTGCAAAGTAGCTGGGAGGTACTCACTATTAAGGAATGAAATAGAAGTTTTACAAACAGGTTCCCCCAAGTCTGATATAAAGTATACTAAACCTGAAGATGAAAGCCTCAGTAGTGATCTTTCTGTCAATTGTATGTATATAATATACATGATATATAGTTATCATATTTTAATAATTTAATGTATTAATATAAACATGTATATTTATAGCTGTAAAATATGTTCTTTGTGTCTAAGAAGTTTCTGTCATGATTTATAAATGAAAATTCTGCCTTCATCTTTTTGATAAATCTTCAGTCTGGAGGCTAAGAAAATCACCACACTTGGAAAAAATATATAAACGGCCGGGCGCGGTGGCTCATGCCTGTAATCCCAGCACTTTGGGAGGCCGAGGTGGGTGGATCACGAGGTCAAGAGATCGAGACCATCCTGGTCAACATGGTAAAACACCGTCTCTACTAAAAATACAAAAATTAGCTGGGCATGGTGGCGCGTGCCTGTAATCCCAGCTACTCAGGAGGCTGAGGCAGGAGAATTGACTGATCCAAGGAGGCGGAGGTTGCGGTGAGCCGAGGTCTCTCCATTGCACTCCAGCCTGGATAACAAGAGCGAAACTCCGTCTCAAAAAAAAGAAAAAATATATAAACCGAGTGGACATTATTTATGTAGTGTGTTATTAAACAACACCTTTTACCAGGAGCTGAAACGTTTATGATACTCTCTAGACACATAAGCAGATTGTTTGTTTTCATAAAACACGTGTTCATTTTGAACTATATGCTGTTTCTTTCTTTTGAAGTCTATTTTTTTAATATGAAGAGATTTGAAAAGTAGAGAAGTTCTTAGAATAGAATAAAACTAAGTTTTTGCATTCTGTTTCAGTGGTTATCAAGAAAAATCACTGACTTTATTAGGAATACAAATTAGGAATTTTTTGTGAAAAGGGAAAGGGAAATGTAAACTGTGCTTCAACTATTCATAATTCTAAGAGTGAAATATTCTTGTGTGTTTCAGATTTCTACTTTCCATGGCTCTTAATTATTATCTTTGGAATATCTGGGCTAACAGTGATGCTATTTGTATTTTTATTTTCTAAACAGCAACGGTAGGTATGAAGTAGTATTCTCTGGTAGTTTTTGCCAGTTGTTTAGATTTCCATGTGTGTTTCTCTTTGTTATTTGATATTTTCTTTTGAAAATTATGAGTGGAAATTTTAATTAACCTAGGAAACTTTTATCTCTAGTTATATATTTACCATTTATTATGAAACTCAATTTGTTGTATTTATCATAGACAACTTGGAGGTTTAGATTCTATCTGGAGACTTGTATACAACATTAAGATGCTTAGGCTACTGACTATACATACTTGGTGATGTGTACCTCTTTATCTAATAGCTATCTGTTCCCTCAAGTCCTCAACAAGTTGACTCATTCATTCTAGGACTTCAGAGTATTACTGAGCCTTTGGCTGAGTCTGATGCAGTTCTTACATACAGTCATTTTTTTTTTTTCCCTTGAGATGGAGTCTCACTCTGTTGTGAATTTATTTTAAAAGGTTTTTATTTGTTTTGTGACATAGTATAGCATTTGTAAACTTCAAAATAGAATTTTATTAGGAAGAAGAATTCTTGGGATGCTAGAGTGTAAAAGTCTAACTGAATGCAGAAAGGGTTATTTTCAGTAGAGTTTCATGTCCAATTTTATAATATAAACTAATGGGAAAGTAAAATTTATTCTGCATAATTCCATTTTGCATCTAATTTTCTGGCAACATTTCTATTTTACAAAAAAGCAGCTATCATAAATCACAACACAATTTTCTATTGTTTCAGGAAAATAAATGTATTTTAAGAATTTTAAGTAATTTGTATATTTAAGTAATGCCAACAACAAAAGAGCAAAATTATTCTGCTGATTAATTTGAGTTCATTAATCTGTATATTTGGTGGGATAATTTATATGTAACTTCCGTAGATAAACTCAGGAGGTACATAACGTAATTAGCTCTTTATATTAGCTGTGAATTTCTAGCCATTGTGAAGGCCAAGTTAATTTGTTATGTTGTTTAGTTATATTAGCTAACAATATTAGGAAAAAAATCATCATCTCAAAAACTAGGATTTCCAAGAAAACATATTACTTCTAATAGAGTGATTTTTATAAATAATGAAATTCTTAACTTTAATGTTTAGTCAAAAATCACCAAATTCAAAAATTGATTTGAAAGCTCTATTGTTCTCTCGAATTTCCTGCACTAAACTGAATCTCTGTTAAGAAGGCATTAACTTTTTTCTTTCATTTTCCCATAAAAACCCTTATCATTGTCTAAATTTGCATGTTCTACTGAAAGTAGGAAATAATAGCAAATATTTGTCAGCAAGTATGGACAGAACATGTAGTTCCAGCAATTAAAATGGTACTGCCAAGAAGCAATCTTATCTAGAACTCTAGGGCTAGAAAGTGGCTTCAGGTCCTACCTGCCATTGAAATCTTACGAGTCCACAATTCATTATCCAAGCCACTTCACCCAGCTTTAATCCAGTTAATTAAGAGTCAACTCTAGCAAAAATTATAATTTTCTGTGTATTTGATACAAAATCACAAACATAGTTTTAAGACAGGTTATTATTATACTGATTCCTACCATGCAACCCACCCAGCCTTTGAGCTGCTACCAGTTGAGGAAAGAAATAACTGAATCAGCCTAAAACAGAACTTCCAAGCCAAAAACCAAACTCAGCCTACAGATTCATATTTTGTTATTTTATTTTAATTAGTTTTTATTTTAGAGTGAAGATTTTCCTACAAAGTGTTTGTAAAATAGAGAATTTTCACACAAAATCCAGACTTGAGAATTATCTTTTAAAAAATGAAAGACGTAGTGAAACTGGACAAGGCAGCATATACTGCAGCGGACAACCAGCTGTCCTATTTGGGACACTGTGACATAAGCTCACTACAACCCCTAGAAAAGCAATAACACATATCTGAATGCATCATCCTATTCAAAAAGGAGAAGCACAGAGTCAAACATCAGCCATTTGGAAAGCTTTGCTTCCTGTAATTAGAGTTATGTTCAATCTGTTTATGTTCTTGAGAATTTGAAACATAGATTTAGAGATGGAGAATAAAAAAGAAAAAAAAAAAGCAGCACAATGCAAAGAACCTGGATTTTGGAGTCAGGTTCTCTGGGTTTGAGCCCCGACTATGCAGACTATGAGTGCATGATTGGAACATGTTCCTTGATTTTCTAAGTTTTTGCACAGATGTATCATCTTCCTCCCTGGGAGTCATAAGAATTAAGTGAAATGTTTAGTGCAGGGGTCACAAAGTTGTTTTATAGAGTCAGAGTACATTTGCAGGCTTTTCAAGTCATGCAATCTCTGTCACAACTACTCAACTCTGCCACTGTGGCATGAAAGTGGTCATAGACAACATGTAAATGAATGAACATGCTTGGGTTCTCATAAAACTTTATCTACACAGATAGGTGATAGTCCAGATTGGCCCACAGGCCTTAATTTAGTGACCCATAGTTTAGTGCAAAGTATTTCCCACAGTGTCTGATTTATCAGGAGCACTAAAAAATGATGGTAGTTATTATAAATAATTTGTATTGCTTATTTCTGTATCCATAATTCATCAGTAACAATTTGCTTTAACACTTGCCCCACTGAGTAGCAGAGGCTGCTTAATGCAATTTATAAAATGGAATTTTGCTTATTCCTTGGATTAGATAAAATGGCAAGTGGAAATATTCACAGAATGTATGCCTTATGCAATGGACTAGACGGACCATTCACACTGAGTGGACTAGCAACTGATATCCTAAATTCAGGTTACCATCTCTCTCATCTCTGAATACTCAGGAGTTTTTTTAAAAAGTAAATGAATAACTTGGAATAGATAATCTCTGAGCCTTTTTCCAGTGCTACAATTTGATTTAAAAAAAATAAACTCCAGGCCAGATACAGTGGCTTATAGCATATAAATTCAGCACATTGGGAGGATGGGGCGGGAGGATTGCCCTGAGGTCAGGAGTTCCAGACAGCTTGGGCAATAACTTGAGCAAGACTCCATTACAAAAAGTAGAACAATAAAAATTAGCACACCCTGTAGTCCTAGCTACTTAGGACGCTGACACAGGAAGATCACTTGGCCCAGGAGTTTGAAGCTGCAGTGAATTTTGATTGTACCACTGGACTCCAGCCTGGGCAATAAAGTAAGACCCTGTTTCCAAAAGTCAAAAAACAATTAAAAACACAGTAAACTCCAGTTACACTATTAATTGTTCAAAATAGATAAATGATTTATTCAGTTTCATGACCAAAAAATAAAGATTTGGAACGAAAAATGTAAATGTATCCTAGGATTGTATATATAAACCCATACTGATTAGTTAGAGATAGTTCAAATTTAGTCTGTTCAACCTGAAATGAATTCTGCTGTAACACACCCTGGTTAATAAGATCATCTTAGATAATTTTATAATTAATATGAACTATATGGCTGACCTACCCAAGTCTACCCTTTTTTAAGGGTGCAAAAATCTTGGCTCCAAGAATCTTTTTTCTTCTTTTTTTTTCTGTACAAATTACTGATGAGATGTACACTAGAATTGCCCTCCTTATAGCTGACATGGAAATCAGCTTCAGATGAATTTTAAATTTCTTACTTTCAAATACTAGCTCTGACTGTCAATAAAAAGCATTAAGAACAAAAAGATTGTGGGAAAACCACATTTTCTTTTAATATATGTCAGATGAGGGCTTTTGGGTTTTTTTAATTGTTGCTATTTTCCTTCTTTCTATAGTTTTTTTCTTAATTTACTGTCTATTATTTCCTTCTGTTTCTCATACTCCAATTATATAAAGTACAAGAATACTTGGAATACATAATAGTATTGCCAATATTTTATTTCTGTCTTTTGCTATAAGTGAGAATATGTAGCTTTAAGATGTCAAAACCAAAATTTTATTTGTTTTCAAGGATTAAAATGCTGATTCTGCCCCCAGTTCCAGTTCCAAAGATTAAAGGAATTGATCCAGATCTGCTCAAGGTAATTAATAATTTTATCTAAATTGTAGATAGTATTAATTAACACCTGGAGAATGGTGTTATATGTTGAAGGCTTTCTGTATCATATATATGTCATATCATATATATATATCACATATATACATATCACATATATATATATCACATTCAATTTTCTTGTATCTCATCTGGAGAAAATTTTTTTAAATATTATATCTCATAAATATCAGAAAATGTCATATGTATTTAAATTTTATAAAATAATTTATGTTTTGTTTATATGTTTTTGTTACTGCTGTTTTTATTGTAACCATATCTCTGAACATTACTTGCTATCATTTAATTATTATGAGTTTCTTTTCATTGATATTTATTTTCTTTCTATTTTCTAGGAAGGAAAATTAGAGGAGGTGAACACAATCTTAGCCATTCATGATAGCTGCAAACCTGAATTCCACAGTGATGACTCTTGGGTTGAATTTATTGAGCTAGATATTGAGGACCCAGATGAAAAGACTGAGGGATCAGACACAGACAGACTTCTAAGCAGTGACCATGAGAAATCACATAGTAACCTAGGGGTGAAGGATGGCGACTCTGGACGTACCAGCTGTTATGAACCTGACATGCTGGAGACTGATTTCAATGCCAGTGACATACATGATGGTACCTCACAGGTTGTTCAGCCACAGAGGTTAAAAGGGGAAGCAGATCTCTTGTGCCTTGACCAGAAGAATCAAAATAACTCACCTTATCATGACGCTTGCCCTGCTATTCATCAGCCCAGTGTTATCCAAGCAGAGAAAAACAAACCGCAACCACTTCTTACTGATGGAGCTGAGTCAACTCATCAAGCTGCCCATATTCAGCTAAGCAATCCAAGTTCACTGGCAAACATTGACTTTTATGCCCAGGTGAGCGACATTACACCAGCAGGGAGTGTGGTCCTTTCACCAGGCCAAAAGAACAAGGCAGGGGTGTCCCAGTGTGACATGCATCCAGAAGTCTCGCTCTGCCAAGCAAACTTCATTATGGACAATGCCTACTTCTGTGAGGCAGATGCCAAAAAATGCATCCCTGTGGCTCCTCATATCAAGGTTGAATCACACACAGAGCCAAGCTTTAACCAAGAGGACATTTATATCACCACAGAGAGCCTTACCACTACTTCTGGGAGGCCTGGGACAGCAGAACATGTTCCAGGTTCTGAGATGCCTGTCCCAGATTATACCTCCATTCATATAGTTCAGTCCCCGCAGGGCCTCATACTCAATGCGACTGCCTTGCCCTTGCCCGACAAAGAGTTTCTCTCATCGTGTGGCTATGTGAGCACAGACCAACTGAACAAAATCATGCCTTAAGACTTTCTTTGATTTCCCAAGAGCTACGTATTTAATGGCAAAGAATTGGCTGGGGCATGAACACTTAAACCAAAACAATGTTTAAACCTTTTTGTGGGGATGACAGGGTGGGGTGTGGATTCTAAATGCCTTTTCCCAAAATGTTGAAATATGATTAAAAAAAATAAGAGGAATGCTTAATCAGATAGATATTCCTATTGTACATTGTAAATATTTTAAAGAATTGTGTCAGACTGTTTAGTAGCAGTGATTGATTATCTTATTATTGTGGTGTTAATTTTGTGATACCAAGCATTGAATGGCTATGGTTTTAATGTATAGTAAATCATACTTTTTGAAAAAGTGAAAAAGTCAGGTGGCTTTCGCAGTTCAGGAAAACTGAATGCAAACCATAGAACAGGCTAATTCTTTTTGTTGTTTTTTAAAGAAAACGCTTTTTTATTTAAAAATTAAATTAAAACTATAAGTGAGAAATTAAAACTATAAGCAAGAAGGCAAAAATAGTTTGGATATGTAAAACATTTATTTTGACATAAAATTGATAAGGTATTTTTAATAATTTAGACTTCGAGCATGGCTATTTTATATTAAGCTACACACTGTGAACTGCAGTTGGTGTGACCCCTCTAAGGAGTATAGTAACTACAGTCCAAAGCTGGTTTAATGCTTCGGCCAGTGCACCTAAAGAAAAAAAACTAGTTTTTTACAAAGCCCTTTTATACCTCCCCAGACTCCTTACACAATTCTAAAATGATTGTAAAATTTTGCATTATTAGAACATAATTATTTTATCTGAATTTTTAAACAAATATTTGTTAATTTGGAAAACTTTAAAGTGTTTGCACAGATCAACTTACTGTGCACCAAAAGAAGTAAAAGCAAAAAAAGAAAACTTTTCTTCACCAAATCTTGGTTCATGCCAAAAAAAATACATCCTAAGAGAAGCAGAAATCATAGTTGGTTCATACTTAACAAGGTGCTTAAGTGCTGTGGTTGCACATGGAATGAGTTTTTTAGTGTGTGCAGATGGTGAGAGATAAGATCTATATCCTCTGCAGCAGAATCTGTTCACACCCAAAATTAGTTTTGTTACATAATTATCTAGGAAGGGAATAAGGTACAAGAAGCATTTTGTAAATTGAAGCAGATTAGTTTGGGTAATGAAACAAAGAGTTCAAGAACTAGGTTTTTGTTTCATGGCCCATAACCAGACACATACTCATTTTTCATGGTAATGAACAGATCATAGACAGAAGAAACAAGGTTTTCAGTTCCCACAGATAACTCAAAATTATTTAAACCAGTAAAAGAAACTCTCTTTCTCACTAGACCTTTTATAGCATGTATTTAAAATAGCAAAAGAATAAGTTTTATCATTTTTTACTTCCTCTTTGAGTGGATTGGCCTCAAAGCAGGCATTCAAAAGAAAAAGAAGGGGCCTGAGTAATTTACAAATTATTTTGCAATCCCTTCATATCCTAACATCATTCTTAAGAGCATTGGGATAGCTCCTGAAAAGGTTTATGAAAAAGAAGAATCTCATCTCAGTGAAGAATACTTCTCATTTTTAAAAAAGCTTAAAAACTTTGAAGTTAGCTTTAATTTAAATAGTATTTCCCGTTTATCTCAGACCTTTTTTAGGAAGCAAGCTTAATGCTGATAATTTTAAATTCCCTCTTTCCTGCAGGAAGGACTATGAAAAGGTAGAACTGAGTGTTTAAATTACAACATGTTATCTGTAATAGTTTAATAGATTTTCTGCTACTTTGCTGCTATGGTTTTCTCCAAGAGCTCCATAATTTAGTTTCATATAAAGTATCATCAGTGTAGAACCTAATTCAATTCAAAGTTGTGTGTTTGGGAGACTATCTTACTATTTCACAACAGGCTGACAACATTTCTGTAGCCAAAAATAGCTAAATACCTCAATCGGTCTCAGAATGTCATTTTGGTACTTCGGTGGCCACACAAGCCATTATTCACTAGTATGACTAGTTGTGTCTGGCAGTTTATATTTAGCACTCTTTATGTCTGTGGATTTTTTCCTTCAAAGTTTAATAAATGTATTTTCTTGGATTCCTGATAGTGTGCTTCTGTTATCAAACACCAACATAAAGATTATGTAAACCAGACTGCATATTGTGAATTATCAATGTAAGGAGAACTTAGCACCATTGGATCGAATACATCAGCATTGGTTATGGAGATTTTTATGTGCTGGGATGTAGAGAGGGAGACGTACCTCCCTACCCCTCTTTTTTTGAGGAGACAAAGCCCAACTCAGAAATATCCTGCTGGCTTGGCCCTCCCCTTAGGCTGTGATTCCCCATGCGCAAAGGTTCATAGAGCCATGTGTCTGCTGCATCATAGAAAATCAATGACATAGGTGTGAGATGAGGGAGAGTGATATGTGAGCATTATCTTTACATTTTCAGCTTGAGCATGTTGTCTGGAAAGAAGGAAAGCAACTCATCTTCTGCCATTCACCCATTGACCTTAGTCAGTTTATTGGACTAGCTACTTGTTATCATGGGAATCAGCTAATAGGTCAGACTTCAGAGGAATGCCAATTAGGTGGGTTGTGTAGGAGCTTGAGAGAGCCATAAGCATAGATTCCTACAGCAGGAGGAAGGCTGCAGGTGAGGTAGCTACTGAACCCTAGGCTTCTTAGCAGGTGCTAGATTCTGAGTTGTAGGAATCAAGTGATGACATTGATAAACCTACTAAATAACGATGTATTGCTTCAGCAATTCAAATGCAACGTGCCACCACTTTTTATAATACTCAAGGGTGACATTAAAAAAAAAATGTCTTCACCTGCTGCCTTCTGCCCTGTGAACAGCCATTGCCTAAAAGAACCATGGAGTGAAGGCTCAGGGCTTCTTTATATGAGACACTTTAAGGTATGAGGAGTAAAGGAAAAAGAAAGCCTGACTACTTCCATGGATTGAAATGACACAATTCTATTTCAGAAGATTAATGATGTATTGAAAACCATCCAATCAGTGATCATTGCTTCTGAACCATGCTTAATGGTGTTTATCATACAACTTTGGTAGCTCACCTAGCAAAAGACTAGACTAGATTTGCCGGTATTACCCTGGGGAATGCCTATCTCTAAAATGTCCTTGAATCAATAATTTTGTGGTTGAATAAATTCGGAAAACACCTCATATACACTCCCTTCTGGGAGAGTCATAGTGACATTTTAAAGCTTCTACAGTTTAAAGAAATCCATTTAAATTTAATACATTATTTTCTAGTTAATAAGAGAAATAGTGAAAGGATACCCAGTATTATATTATTAACACTTGGGAAAAAACCAAGAAGAGTAACACACTTGCCACAAAATGAAGTTATATTAAATTTCAGATGAACGTGAATTTGAACAAAACCTTTATATGATGTCATTACATTTTTACTCACAATAAAACTTCTTTAAAATTAAATGCAAAGGAGCTGCATGATTTAAATAACCACAGATGATTTTCAACTCATCTCAGGTATGACACTTTTCATAAAGTAGGGACATCTTAGAGCATTCATTGCCTTCTCTAAGACAGTGACTTTTTATATGCTTGCTGAAACAAGATTTAACTTTAGGACTGGCATGGTGGCTCAAGCCTGTAATCCCAGCACTCTGGGTGGCCAAGATGGGCAGATCACTAGGTCAAGAGATCAGGACCATCCTGGCCAACTTGGTAAAACGCCGTCTCTAATAAAAATACAAAAATTAGCTGGGCATTGTGGCACACGATTGTGGTCCCAGGTACTCGGGAGGCTGAGGCAGAAGAATTGCTTGAACCCAGGAGGCAGAAGTTGCAGTTAGCCAAGATTGGGCCACTGCACTCCAGCCTGGCTACAGAGCAAGACTTCATCTCAAAAAAAATAAATAAATAACTTTTTTCCTTTTTCAGCCCAAAGAATGATTGACATATGAAATGTACCAATATTAACAAATTCTGACACTTATTTAGGATACCCATTTTTCTATGAAATCTGAGATTATAACACCAAGAAATGCTTATATCACTTCTCATAGGAGGAGTATATGTTGCTGTGAAATTACAGAATAATACTTATCTGTTATTATCTGAACAAAAATAACTTGCTCCTAATGTTGTTTAAGTTAAAAAAAAAAATACGTCGAATATAATAGATTTTTTTCACAATAGTCCCAGGATGCAGTCTTTGTAGAAATATATAGAAATCAATTTCCTGTTGATCTCTTTTTAACAAAGAATCTCTTTAGAATTGTTCTGTGAGCATTAAGAGATGTTAGCAGCATTTTCAATAAGGATAAAATAATTTGTGAAGAAACTGTACTCGCTTGGGCTTTGACAATGGTACTGTAGTCAAAAATTCAAAGTAGAAAGAGTTTTATTATTACCTTTCCCTTAATGGTACTGTATAATAAAAATAACTTGCATAGGGTTCTGATTTTATAAAGTACTTTCAAATGTGTTATTTCATTTACACTTAAGAAATCTGTCTTGTAGGCTTGACAGATACTATTCTTAACATCTTATTGGGGGAAAAAACCAAGGCTCATAAAACCTAAGAGATTTTCCCAAAGTTAATAAAGTAGTGAGTGATGAAGCCAGGATGAAAACCCAAGTTGACTAGTCTAAAGTTCCCAAAACAATGCAACCTATAACATTACTGGATGGGGGAAAAACTTTGGATCCTTTTCACAGTGTGAAGAAAAGGGAAAGTTAATTGTTTTGTAATAACTATTATTCAAAGATAATCTTGAGTAATCTTCTATAATAATAATTCTTTGAACACTTTGGTAAAATTCAAAGAATCACCTGCCAAAGATGAAAGATTCTTCTCTGATAAACATAACCAGGTAGTAAATGTCTAGCAACCATTTCTGGAGTGGAGGGTCTATGTTGAGAAGTGCTGAGTGTATAATTGCTGAGAAATGCTGAGTATATGATTGAATACATTGCTTGCTAGGAAGAACGATGGTAAGGAAAACTTAGCCACCCCCCACCAGTAGAAAACTACTTGGGGCATTCTAAAGCAGCAGGACAATATATAAATATCATACACTGGTTAAAACAATTTTTTAATATATATATTTTTTTATTGCATTTTAGGTTCTGGGGTGCATGTAAAGAACATGCAGGATTGTTGCATAGATACATACATGGCAATGTGGTTTGCTGCCTCCACCCTCATCACCTATATCTGGCATTTCTCCCCATGTTATAACTCCCCAACTCCCTACCCCCCATCCCTCCTCTAGTCCCCTCCACCACAGACCTCAGTGTGTGATGCTCCTCTCCTTGTGTCCCTGTGTTCTCATTGCACAACACCCACCTATGAGTGAGAACATGCAGTGCTTGATTCTCTGTTCCTGTGTCAGTTTGCTGAGAATGATGGTTTCTAGGCTCATCCATGTCCCTACAAAGGACACAAATTCATCGTTTTTGATGACTGCATAGTATTCCATGGTGTATAAGTGCCACATTTTCCCTGTCCAGTCTATCATCAATGGGCATTTGGGTTGGTTCCAAGTCTTTCCTATTGTAAACAGCACCACAATGAACATACATGTGCATGTATCCTTACAATAGAACGATTTATACTCCTTTGGATATATACCCAGTAATGGGATTGCTGGGTCAAATGGAATTTCTATTTCTAGGTCCTTGAGGAATTGCCATATGGTCTTCCACAATGGTTGAACTAATTTACACTCCCACCAACAGTGTAAAAGGGTTCCTATTTCTCCACATCCTCTTCAGCATCTGTTGTCTCCAGATTTTTTAATGATCACCATTCTAACTGACGTGAGATGGTATCTCAATGTGGTTTTGATTTGCATTTCTCTAATAACCAGTGATGATGAGCATTTTTTCATATGTTTGTTGGCCTCATATATGTCTTCTTTTGTAAAGTGTCTGTTCATATCCTTTGCCCACTTTTGAATGGGTTTGCTTGCTTTTTTCTTGTAAATCTGTTTTAGTTCTTTATAGATTTTGGATATAAGTCCTTTGTCAGATGGGTAGATTGCAAAAATTTTTTCCCATTCTGTTGGTTGCAGGTTCACTCTAATGATTGTTTCTTTTGCTGTGCAGAAGCTCTGGAGTTTAATTAGATCCCATTTTTTAAGCACAGACATCTGACCCTGCCCCAGTGGCTCCCTTGTGGAGAATACTTTTTAGTTTGTCTGAGATCAGTGGTAAGCAGGCACCAGCTGCCTACTTGGTATGTTTTTGTGTTATGAGAAAATACAGAACATCTGTTTGTTAATAATAATCACCTGTTCAGAGAGAATAAATCTGTGGGTCAGAGTCTGCTCGAGGCCTTCAACCCAGAATGCTGTCAGCCCCTGAGGCTCTTAGCTCAGAAGGCTGTTAGCTCTGCAGATAGACTCACTTTGCTTTTCTATCTAGGTGTCTGCTTCTCAGTGCCTTCAGCACTGCCTGGGTGGGGGTCTCTACAGCCAAGATCTCGGTAAGTAGCGCCCAGACATGGGGGCTCGAACCCGGCATGAAGGGTCGTCTGAGTGACGGAGAAAGGAGATGCTAAGCTGAAGGTATCCGGAGTACTCTTTTAAAAATCCGTGATGAAAAATGAGAACACATGGACACAGAGAGGGGAGTACTAAACACTGGGGTCTATAGGGGGAAAAGGGGAGGGCCAGTGGGAGGGGGAGGTGGGGAGGGATTGCCAGGGGAGAAATACCAAATGTGGGTGAAGGGGAGAAAGCAAACAAAACACACTGCCCTGTGTGTACCTATGCAACTGTATTGCATGCTCTGCACATGTACCCCAAAACCTAAAATGCAATAAAAAAGAAAATCCCCAGGGCAAGTTGGGGGATCTAGGAAGGAGTCCAGGAATTTTTGAAAGACTCTCCCAGGTGAGTTAGGGGGAGCCCAGAAGTAGCCTGAGAACTCTTGAAAAAAATCTCCCAGGATAAGTTGGGGAGCTCTGAATTAGCCTGAGAACTCTTTAAAAAAATCTCCCAGAGTGAGCTGGAGGAGCGCAGTAGGTAGTATTATGGTAACACAGGACAGAGATCAAGCAAACACGAGGCTTATTTGGTGTGGTTTGTTTGG